ACACACACACACACACACATATATGAGTGTGTATATTTTTTCCCTAGGTAGATTTTCCAAGAGAAAACAAAGTGAATTCAGGTTTATACATCATTGAATTTAATTAAAAACTAACTATAGTTAAATACTACTACACATACAGATACATACTAATATTAGTAAACTACTTCTTCCTCTAGAAAAAGAAATGAGCAAGAAGCCTTTAAGAGCTGGTCAGGCCGGGGAGATAGCTCAGTGGAATAAGTGCTTGCTTGGCAAGTGCAAGGTGCTGAGTCTGACCCCTAGAAACACCAAAAGGGGGGGGGGGGCTTGTCTTTGTCTCCTAATTCCAACAGAGAAGAATAATTTAGTTTTACCCTTTATGTTAACTGAGAGGAAAGTATTAGCATTGAGATGTATTTTATGATCTCTGAAGCTGTTTAGCTCAGAATTTTGCCTTCAATCTCTGTGTAAGCCCCAGGCTATGCTCTGTGGTTTGCAGCCAACAGTTGTGAGCAGTTTTATTTAAAAAAAAATCATTGCTAATTCTTAAAATGGTTGATGTGAGAGTTATTTATAAAAGAGACTATTCTTTGAAAATCTTGAAGACTAAGCTGACATGGTGGCACACACCATGTAATCCCAGAACTGAGGAGGTGGAGGCAGGAGGACTGCAAATTCAAGCCCAGCCTGGGTAACCTATTGACACTCTCAAAATGTAGGTATGTGGCTCAGTGGGAGACTGCCCCCATGTTCCATTCCTTGTACTGAAAAAATAAAAAGACTATAAGAAAGGCAATAAAGTCTCATTTTAAAGCTCCATTGTGTAAATATACAGGTAAATTGGCTTCTCTCAACCCCGTTATTCACAGCTATTATCTGCTTTCTATGTGCTACTCACCAGTACCTTTGGAACTGTGGTAATAAGAACGTCCAACTGATCTGTTAAAAAAAGAAATAGGTAATAACTGACAGCTTTATAAGCACGAAACATAGTTCAGACAAAGGTGGTATTACATAAGCTGTATCACACAATCTGCTATGATTCTGCCCAAGTCCTAATGGCTCTACTTTTTTTAAGTGAGCTGAGACTTTAAACATACTAGAAAAGATGTACTTTTAAACCAGATTTGGTTTTACTTTTACAGCTTCCCAGTTTGAACTCAATACGTAGCTTGAGTTTCTATGCTGAGTATTGGAAAGACTATCCTTTGAGAAGTAATTAAAATGTTCTGAGGCCACCTTGGTGGAGCAAGCCTGTAATCCTACCACTAGGGAGGCTGGGGCAGAAGGATCATTGTGAGTTCGAGACCAGTCGGGTTAAAAAAAAAAAAAAAAAGTGAGCTCAAGGCCAGCCTGAACTACATAGGGAGACCCTGTCTCGAAAACACCACACAAAAAGGTGCTGGAATTGATAAATTTTAAAGACCCACTTCCTGCAATTTATTCAATGACTATAAGCTCCTTGATCAAGCATCATGTATAGAAAGCTGTAAACTAATATAACAAAAACCAACCAACAAACAGGGACCTTAACCTTAACCGTTTTTTAAGTCTTCCATGGTACCCGATATAATGGCACAGGCCTGGAATCCCAGCACTCTGGGAGACTGAGGCAGGCAAGTGGCACGTTTGAGCTAGTCTGGGTACTGTCTCAAAACTGTAAAGGGGGTGGGGATGTAGTTCAGTGTGAAGACCCTGGATTAAGTCCCCAGTATACAGAAAAAGTCTTCAATGGCACCAGGTATAATAATAAAAACAACAACATGGCATGTTTACAGCGGGAGCCATGGCTGTGGGCTGAGCTGGACCGCAAATACACGGCTGCTCTCTCCCTTCTAGGAACAAGGCTTGAAGGAGGGCGCACGGACGGCGATTTCGGCAACTAGTTTGCTTCACCGTCCAGGAAAAATCCTGGCATATATCGGAATCGGCTTAGACCCGGGAGCCTACACCGAGCAAGGGGACATCTCGGGCTCGCTGGGCTCCCCGCAGTCCCGAATTCGCGCAGAGCTAGTGCGGGAAGACGCGTTTCTCCCGCAGGTCCCGCAGCGCCCCCTGGGGCGCGGGAGGACGAACGCCGGCGCCTGTCGCAGTCCCGCGTCTCTGCGCCAAACCTCCCC